ATTCCGTGTGACCTTCCTATTCAAAGCTAGCTTGGAGTCTTCCTCAAGTTGCTTATGATGTGACACAAATTGTTTCTTAAGCCAGAACCCGCAGGTCACTTGACATTTTATTGAAGTCGAAGTAAATTTGCCATAAACGGGTAAATACCATTGAAGTCAGTAATATCCTACACCAAACGCCCGCTGAAGTTACAGATATTCTTAACCAACTGCTTCAAAGCTATTCTAATTTTAGCAAACGGAACAGCTGAGTATAGATCTTAAATATATTGCCATTGTTATGTTCTACCCCTTCATACAGCTAAGGTCCAGCACTAGTAACTTGGGATCTATATATCAACAATAACGTAAACCTGTGAGAGCTTCTTACCATGAATTGATAAGAGAATTACAAGATGAATGCGTTCTTACATTCCGTTGAAGATTACACCAAAACATGGGCAAAACTAAGCATGCTGAAATGTATACATTTTGTGTTTAATCATGTCTATCATTATCAAAAATAGCAACTTGAAACCTAAACTGAAAACCAATTATTTCTTGACCTACATGTATCTGGTAAAAGATTTTTGTGCTACAGTACAATATCATGGGAGGTTATTCGCTGGTGATTTGCCTGCAATGGCACAGGGTGTTTAACATGAGAAAACTTTAGCCTATCAAATAATGTATCCAATGAATCATGCAACAGCTTGTCAAGGAATGTACAGGATATTTCGAATCGCCATCAGTGTATATTGCTAGGTCACTACATGAATCTTTAGATCAGCTTATCTACTCTGTTATGACTTGCATACTACATCAGTAAGCTATAATGTTATGTGTGACCAGTTGGATGATAATTGTATCTCGCTGGAATCAAATTTAGCGACAGATGTTGGGATTGACTTTCTTTTCTATTTCCTACTAGAGATTTTAAGAATCAGTAATACTAGAGTTAATATGTGGGGATATAGCTCAGTGGTAGAGCATTCGACTGCAGATCGAGAGGTCCCTGGTTCGAACCCGGGTGTCCCCTATTTTTATCCTTTTGTTTTTTTACTTATGCAAGGTGTGAACTATGTTTTAAACTGCAAAGGCCGGTATATGTTATACTTTTTCATTCTCATAAAGAAAGAAATTCTGTAATGCATTGCTTTGCATTTACAAATCAAATGTGTAATTTATTAATTAGCCATGTGCAAATATTTATACATAAGCGAAAAACAAACTGTGAGATTCCGTATTTAGAGAAACTGTATCACCCTATACCAATTACTTTATACTTGGTACAACATTAGTACCGAGAAAGCTACACGATACATCTTGGCACTGATTCGCCAGACGGATGTTATAACAGTAAAACGTTTGTAGGATTTTTTTAACCTAGGGTACATTCCTACAAATGTTATATGATATTTCACTCCTTAAGGAGATTTAATTGTAGTCTTCAACATCAACACCACATTATGCCCAACCGAATTAAATGATAAATTAAGGAAACTTAAGGGAAACCATCATGTGTTCATCATGATCGAACGATATTTATTCGATTCCTCTTTCTGTATTACATCACAAAACGTTTTAACATAAATGTTCCTATTCAAAACTAGTCTGGAGTCTTCATCAAGTTGCTGACGATGTGACAAAAATGTCAATTACCAGTTTCCCTAGTTTCTGATATTTCGTTAAGACTACACAACAAATGGGCAAAACAGCATGCTGAATTGTTTACAAAATGTGTTTTATCAATCAGATCCATCATTATCATATATAGCAACTTGAAATCTAAAATAAAAAAAACCCAATTATTCATTGACCTACCCGGTGAAAAGAAGTGTGTGCCACAGTAAAATACGATATCGGGAGATGTCATTCTCTAGTGTTTTGCCTGCAGTGGTACAAGTTCTTTAACATGACAAAAGTTTAGCTTATTAAATAATTTAGCCAATTAATCCTGTCAGCCAGTTAAGGAATACACAGGATATATTGAATCATCTTGGCATATATCACTATGTTAGTTACCTTTAGATCAGCTTATCTATTCTCTAGTGATCTGCATGTAAAGATAGTGGAGCTGACGATATGCCAGACCAGTACGCCATAATGCTCTGTGTTACCAGTTGGTTTACATGTTTATACATAATGAGCTTGAACAATATAACTTTATCTTGCTGGAATCAGCTTCAGCGACAGATGTTGGTATCACATCGCTTTTCTATTGATTGGAAATACTGAAGATAATATGTGGGGATATAGCTCAGTGGTAGAGCATTCGACTGCAGATCGAGAGGTCCCTGGTTCGAACCCGGGTGTCCCCTATTTTTATTGTTTTTAACTGTTTTAAATTTCAAAATCCTGTAAATGTATACTTTTTTATACTCTTAAAAAACATAGTTATGTAATGCATACTTTTGTTTCATTTACAAGTCAAATAAGTCATCTATCAGTCAACCATTTGAACAATTCAATACATTCATAACAAGAAACGTGGCAGTTGGTATTGTAGAGAAAAATGTATCACCCTTCAAATTACTTTATACTTCGTACACCGTACAGTTAGGAATGTGAAGAATACTAAATGGTACAGTTTTGCACTGATCTTCTAGACAGACGTTACGACAGGAAATTTATTTGATACAGGTTCCAGTCATACAAAGGTATTATAATTTTTGACCAATCAAAGGAGATTTAATTGTTCTCATGAACACCAGCACCACATTATGCCCAACCGAATGTAATGATACATTACGGAAACTTCAGGGAAAACACATTATGTGTTCATTATAATTGAACTATATTTATTCGATCGCTCTTTCTGTATTACGAACATCACAAAAGGTTTCAACTTAAACTGTTCCTTGTGACCTTCCTATTCAAAACTAGAATCTATAGAAAGGTCTGCTTCAATTGTGATAGACTCTGAAATAAGAATCCTAGTCAAAACGTCTGATCGTTTGCTCTGTTAGGTAATTTAGTTAGTCATATTTAAAGTGGTTACTATCGTTCTTAGTACCGGGATCGTCTTATTGTGACAACTTATCCTCTAAAAGTGAAATCAATAATGTGAATTTTGAAGAACGCAAACAAAGTATTGATCTTTTTTTTTTGTTCAGAACTATTGACTGTACCACTCTTTTCGCTACCGGATATTATATCAAATTGACGATAAGTCTTCGTTCTCTTAATATGACATTTTTCCTGTTAATGAAATTAAATTTATGGTTTTGAACTATTTTGGAGCATACCTTGCCGATCCGGTGACACAATTGTACAGCTCACTGACATGCTCATAGCACAAACTGTCCCTATCATGGTTGAACTGCGTTTGTTTTAATATGTGACTGGTTTTACAAAAGAGTTCACGAGGACAGGTAAACTAGCACTCAACAGTACTTTGTTGTCTTTTACTACCAATTGGTAACGTCTATCGTATTACCGTTTTGAGCTTGAAATCAATGACATTGCAGACCTTTCTATATCGGTCGTTTACTACTAACTAGTAAATAAACTATAAGATATCCGTGGCAAATTCGATATTCCTTTGATGAACGTTTCTTTAACTTGATAGTAAAACTCTTCTTCTCCCATCCAGTGTGTTTACATGTCATGGTAGATTCAGTATACATTAGCCTGCCCTGAATATCACAACTTCTGTGAAGTTTCGAAAACTATAGACTGATAAAGATTACGGATTGTTTTATGATCGCCATTGTGATCTCATTTGTTACATGGATACCAACGTGGATCAGTGATAAGATAAATATGAAATCACCCAATTTGTTAACCATATCACCCAATTTGTTAACCATATCACAAGCGTTAAATCACCCAATTTGTTAACAATACACCCTGTTTGCTAACCACATCACAAGCGGGAAATCACCCAGTTTGTTAACCAAATCACAAGCGTGAAATCACTCAGTTTGTTAACAAAATCACAAGCGTGAAATCACCCAGTTTGTTAACCAAATCACAAGCATGAAATCACCCAATTTGTTAACAAAATCACAAGCGTAAAATCACCCAGTTTGTTAACAAAATCACAAGCGTGAAATCACCCAGTTTGTTAACCAAATCACAAGCGTGAAATCACCCAGTTTGTTAACCAAATCACAGCAAAGGGACGTAAATATTCTAGGAGAGGCGATAGCAAACACTTTCCGACGTTGTTATGACCCGTAAACGAGGTAATTAATCTTAAATATCGCTCTTGACTTACTTGCTGTGTTTGTGATAACAATTTGGTACACAGAAACACTTCCACACATCTCCTACTTTCAGTTTGACTATAGGAAAAATGTAGAACCCGGATAATGATGATGTAAGTATGCATGAAATAGCATTCTTGAAAAGTCACGGCGGTTCAATAACAAATTGGAAATAAAAAATATGGAAAATCAAACATTCAAGTTTCCTGTTTCTTATAAGCAAGCAGATGTCCCAAACGATCGAGCCCGGATGTTAAGAATGTCTTATCGCTATTGTTCGTAGTGTCGCTGTTTCTAACAACCAGCTTATCTATGCTGATCTACCGATACATTTGTACCTAGCCCATTAACGATTCAGTTTGACAGCCAATTTAATTGATATTTCTGATAAATTGTTCCATGATCCTGTCTTTCCACTTGAGTCAATTTTTTCAACAGCTGTGTTGCATTATTTATATTTTACTACGAATATGTACGGTTGGAAATACTGGATTAAAATGTGGGGATATAGCTCAGTGGTAGAGCATTCGACTGCAGATCGAGAGGTCCCTGGTTCGAACCCGGGTGTCCCCTAATATTTTAATCTGAAAAATCAAATTGATTGATTAATATATATAAATTCTGTTATTATTCACATCCTTTTTTTAACTAACATATTTAACTGATTTTTTAAACCTAATGTCGTTTCTTCATTGAACTTTAAGTATAAATCGGTCTTATTTTCTCTATAACTCTATAAATAATGACAATGGTGAACGGCATGCTGTAGCAAATCTTGCAGAAAAAACAAAACTGATTCAAACACAAAATACATTTATATTCATATTGCAGTTATGTTTTTAATTTAACAAAACAATATTTCTTACAGTCTTTTTATCTTAGATATTAACCATTACACTGTATTATAGACATTTGCGTCACGTCCAGATATTCTACAATCGCGTACAGAAACAAATTGCAAAACAATCTTGTTCACATAGTACTTTGGACATATTCACGTTCTTTTTCAATTTTTCAATTTGGGGATACAGAAATCCACTCTTTATTGGCTATCCCACGAACAGGCCAACATGTCTGTGAACTAGACGGTTCCGATGGACATTTTGCTGAAACATGAATAACAAATTAAGGATAATTGCATTTAAATCATTACATTTAAACTCTTTTTTTTTCTCTCTCAATCTTTTCTTTATCAATGCTAATGACAGTAATAAAAAAGGATGCAAATATTCAATACGTACCGCTGTTGTGATGTTTTTACAGTTGGTTGGATTGTTGAATACTTTCGGATTTTGAATATCTGAAGGATCTAGAAACTCATAGTTATACGCAAACACCCCTAAAGGATCGAATCCGTATTCTTCCAGGACTAGCCGGCTAGGCGGACATACATCACCTAGAAATAGAAAGATATATAACAAAATTTCAAATCTAACTCATGAGCTGCTTTCAAAAAGAAATGTGAGTGTGAACAGAGTTTTTTTTTTAAGATACAGTTTTGTAAATCCCATTTTCTTAATGTCAAAATTGCGCTCTTAATCCAGCCAGAGTATCATATAACTATAAATTTTACCTCAAAACTATAAATATGGTCTGCGCTGTTTACAAGCGATAACATGTTTTCAATCTAATTCACATTGGACAATTAATCTGCAAAACAGTTTTGAATAGAATTAGCTTTTGTGACATTTATTCATGGAAACCAAACTCTGAGAACTGCACTTTCTTTTCATTTTCATTTGTTCAAAGATATTGCTTGTTTCCTTTCTGCAGCTCCACGGTTTTCGGTGTTCTTTTCAATGGTAAAAATGGCTTTTGTTCCACAATATCTAAAATATCATTTTTAACGTGAAACAAATTGTTTAAATGACTTTACTCAACCCAGTTTCTAACATAGCTGATACATTTCAATCTTTTGTCATGACAAGTCCCTTTTTACCTACTTTTTAATTTTTTTTTATAGGAATAGAAAAGTCATGATAACAGTTAACTATACATTTTCTGACGTTTTCTTTGGTTAATATAAATGATCCACACAAATGGAAACAAATCTTTATAACAACGCTTGAATTCTGCCGCGTCTGTTAAGGAGTCAATCATTCAACTTTAAGGTGTCTGTTAAAAGTTATGTACATTCTACATATTTCAGATATCATTTCTAATGATTATTAAGCTAAGGAAACCGGATTAACACGATAAAGAAGATTTCTGAAGATACAGATAAATTCTTATCACCTTACGGTCTCTGTGTCACTATAATAACCAGCTTATCTGTACTACTCTGGGCACTGACGTTCTACCTTGCTAGATTATGATTACGCTATGAAGCCATACTCTTCTTATCGGTACTGATTATACATAAGGAAATGTTACATGATCCTGATATTTTAGCGACAGCTGTGCTGGATTATATAGATTTTACTAGAAACATGTAGGCTGGACATACTGTTCTAAGTATAAGGGGATATAGCTCAGTGGTAGAGCATTCGACTGCAGATCGAGAGGTCCCTGGTTCGAACCCGGGTGTCCCCTAATTTTTCACTTTTATATAAATCTGATTTTAATTCTTTCGGGTTTCCTTTCTCCATTCTTTGATAGAGCTAGTTCGAAATAAAATAAATGGTGGAAAAACAGTTGCACTGGATGAATTTGTTAACCTGTGTCTTGACATAGAAATGTAACGCATACATGTCGGGCTTCATAGAACATCTTGAACGTTATATTTCTTAACTCACAATTAAAAATCAATCGACGGAAACATGCACGTCATGATGTATATTCTTTCTTATCATCTCGATTTCAGGTACATACTTCTCGATGAACGGGGATGACGAGTAATGTCGTCATTGCATCCTCGAGTAAACTTCTTTGTTCAAAGCAAGGAAACAAAGGAAGTCTGCGGAAGCTTTTCACTTTAATGTAATTTTAGAACTATTGTGGTCACCCCTCTTCACATACATGTATGTGTGGACTGCATTTCAAAAATTTACATTTTAAAGGAAAACACTGATGAACTTATAGATTTTGTACAACGGCGACCATTTGTCTCGGAAATATAAATCTGATTTACCAAATAGTCATCTAAATGTGACGTTATACAGACGGCAAAATACATTTAAGAATATGCGAATATTGGAAATTTTGTTTTGATGCTAAAAACAGATGTTTTAGTACGAATGCATTTGTGACAGGATAACTTCAATAATTGCTATTTAGTACGATATTTATTGAACAGAATTAGTTTACCAGACTAGACTGATTTTACAGCACATACTGTTTGTTTTGGAAATAAATTAAATCAGCATATTCCAATCAGTTACTAAATAAAAAGGGTGGTTTGCTTGTTCTTGACTCTATACCGATGCTATAAAACTAGTGCTTTACTGAGTCGTTCCCTTGGCAAGCATTAACAACTTTAAATTAATAATCATATATAAATCGCAAAATGTGTTACCAGAATAGCTTAAACAAGAGAGGATAGAGGTAAAACGCCATATCATTTTTCTTAAATCTTGAAAAATATGTAACAATATTTATCATCACGAAAGTTTGTGCTACGTGAACCTGGAACCGGCAGAGAACTTAGGAATTTCGTTTTAATCATACAAGGTTGAAACTACATTTACTTACCGACTTTAACATCTATGGCCACTGCTAGAGTTTCATTGTCAGAATGCTTGACCAATTTTAGGAACTGGTACTGTCCGAAGCGTTCCTGGTTCCCCCCTATGCCTCCAAAATAAGTTGGCGACGCCTCCCCTAAGACAAAACCAGACAGCATTATAAGCAAACACCATATGTTTGATGCAATGACATGTTAAGAATGTTATCGAGATAAATCTTAAGTTTAATGGTAAACCTCTTACGAAAAATAACCATTTAATAACGTTAAAACTTCGACATTTAATATCGATAATTTACGTTATATGTTCGATCCCTATCAATTTCCTCAACCTTTATTATCGACGGTTATGGAACATATACAAAAAGGCTTAACAATACATTCATTTGAAAAGTATACACTTTACCGACACCTACCAGGCACACCCTCCCACTGCCGCCAGAAGTCGCTCTGTTGTACCTCCCTGTCACAGCTCTTGTTTATATAGTCAATGGTGTAGAATGCGGACTGGAAATAGAATAATAAATACAATTCATTTGAGATGTTACACGATATTTGATTGGTCACTCAAAATAATTTTCGACAGTATAACCTGCTATCCGTTATACAGGCTACGCTCTGTGTCGCCAGTAAAAACTCAATTTGCGGTGCCATGCTAATAGAGCTTGCATAAATCATAACCACGGTCTGTTTTAGAAATTATAAACAACTTGTATTTAATTATGACTTGTTTCTTTAATCTTTCAGATCATAAGATAAAATGATCAATCTAAAAAAAATGGTGAACACGACACTGACTCATTCACAATTGTCTCCCTCAATTCAACCATTAAATAATTACATTATACACATTATCTTTATACATAATTATACCTTTAATTTATCAAAAATATTTCTAACATAGTGCATTTATTTCGATGAACTTTCAAACGAAAGATTAATTATATGAAGTGTTATGAGATAGATAGAATACATATTGTGCACTTACTGCAGTTGAGCTACAATAGAAAAGTGGCATACAAAATATGTTATAAGGCCGGTAGGAATAAATATAATGCCATTACTTCGTTAAACTTCCATAGGAAAGTGTAATCATAAGATGTGTTGTACGCCAGATCTATTCCCTTCAGGTCCAGCCTCGTCTGGTTGTTGGTATAGTCATAATAGTAAATGCCTGATGCACGAGCCTGTGTAGGAACTGTGAACATCAGTCCGAAATCAAAGTAAACATTGCTTTGCCATTGAGCTGGAAACCTGCATCGTAGTTTATCAGAGGTAGAACATGTTCCCAAAAAAAACCACAACGATAATAAGATCAGTTTCGCATCCGCCATAGTGTTACTTAGTGTCTCACAGTATCTCTTCAATGTTAAGATATCATGGAACACTTACATATAAAGGTCAATATGGGATATCTATCCAATAATTTATCTCCTCGTTATCACTATTTACGTAGGATATATAACAGATACACATGTCTCAACACATGTAGTATAGATACTATTCAGCAACCATCTTATCTAATGTTGAATCAATTTTAATACTATGAATTTATCATAAGTGGGACATCGACATTTAAAATTTTGAATTCTTAATTTGTACTGCAAGAAGACATAGTACTAATGAAGGCTTTATGAATAAACAGAAAACATGCCTGGGGTCCTCGGATAAACTGCATGATATGTAAATTTCTATTTTGCTACTTAAGGTAAAAATCAAAGAAGAAATATTCCTCTTTATTTTATTCATTCATTACTCTATTTCTAACTAAATTTACAAGTATTTAAAGACAGCTTCATTGTTGCTAATGTTCAGAGTCAAATAAAGTATATCACTTTCATTGCTAACGCTTTTATATGTAGTATTTGTTAGAGTTCTAAATTTTGAACATATCTTACTCGCTATACCCGAAGGGTACATTCATTACTCTATTTCTAACTACATTTACAAGTGCATACTTTCGTTAATTGGTTTTGTTCAAAAATTGATTATATTTAATATTGGTTCATATTCCAAATAGCATCACTTTATGTTTAAAATAGTCCTTATCGATGCTTCTAATAGTCTATATTGGGCCTGAAGGTGTTAATATACTAGCTGAGGTTATTAGGCTTCCAAGGTATTCATACTCCTTTATGCTGTATTAATTTCCATATTTAGAATTGTAATTATTACTAGTCTATTACTAGCTTGAAAACCAATTGACTGTTTTTTTTAAATATCTCCCCTTCATTATAGCATGAATTGTTCAATTAAGTTTGCAGTCCTTTAATTGTTTCAGTAAGAATATTTATATCACCACCAAATATAAGACACCATAGGTCAGTAATCACCAAATCTACATTTGGACCCTTAATACCTGCAAGGAGAATAAGAACATGCGATCTGAAACGGTATATCAGCTTCTGCTTCATTTTTGTTCACAATGTTGACACCTCCCATATTTCCTGTTTTGTTTTTGTTTGTTTTTATTTTCTGTTTGTGAGAACCGAGAAAGAAAACCACCAGACATCCTAATGAGCATACTAAAAAACGCCGCTATCGATAGTTAACAAGGTAACAGAAAAATTTCCCACTAAATTAATGATGGCTACCATAAAACGTGCCCATAGTATTCATCATCCGTTATCTCAATAAACCCAATATTGTAAAGTCAGCCTATCTCATCCATCACGTAAAGAATTATATTGCATGTGTTTATTGCAAGCATGAGGATAATACACCAACTACATAGGTGCTACTCTCAAGAAACAGAAAGTTCGCGATAAGTTAACAGAAATCGTTATACAGTAGTAAGCCGTCTATGTTGGTCATGTTGTGGATGGTACGTAAAGACCGAGGCAAGCGACAGATGTGAAAGAGGCTGTGGTGTCTTCGATGTCAGATTCAGTAGAAAATATGCAATCGACGTGGTCGATACATTTCTTTTTCCTTAAGACAGCATACAGTCGATATACGTGAAAGTGACATTAAGGCTTTAAATACCTTTCTGGTAAGCTCTTTGAAAAATACGGTTTCATATGCAAACAAGAACAAGAACTCCAGTATATCTGCTGAGACATAACAGCAGTCTGCTGGAAGGTCTTGCCATCGAACTTAACAAAGATGAAATAGAAAGAATCTTCTTTTAGATGCTATTTAATATATTTAAGAGGTTCCCTTTACATTTCCTTTTAATCTGACCACACACATTGATCTGTTCATTTTGAAATTCTTATTAAGCTAATTTCTAGGTTGCCTTTATTTGTGATAGTTACTCTGTAACGCTATCAATAACTTTTGATTGGATTCTATTAAATTTCTAATCAGTTAATATATCAGTATAAGTGTTTTGAGAAGTAAGTGTATCATTGTTATTTGATCCTAAGACACATCATACATACACATTAATCTCTTGCAGTCATATTTCGAGTATCATTACCAAAAACATAGTTTCCATTCACAAACAGTACACTGGAGGGAATTCGCTTGTTAATAGTTTCTTCTACACTGATGAAATGTCGGTAAAATGATGGAGTCATGACAAGATATATTGTCTTTTAAAATGAAATGTGGGTTATTTTCTCTTCTGGAATTGAACACAGAAATATTTTCCTTCCACACAACAAAATAATATATATCATATTACAGTATAGATGGCACAAGCGTTAAACCATCATGTAATATATGACGTATATCTGCGCGTTAAAAGATAACAGTAAGTCATTAAATATGTGTCACATATATCATATCAGTGGAAGTGTGTTATCGTCCGAAAACACTAATACGGACGACCACAGTATACCCTACCCATGTCACACGTCTGTGAAGTTGGCGTAACTCTGATCACTACACTAGTGTCTGACAATGATGGCGGACAAAGTCAGCTTGATTATTTTCTGCATTCTTATATTTATATTTGGTAGTTTTGCAAAACCAAAGGATCCGCAATGTAAGTTTCCTCCGCAATGGCAAAGCACGGTGTTTTTAGACTTCGGGATGTTTATGTCTGGTGTGTCTGGTCATGCGTACGGATCCGGGACATTTTATTACGATTATCCGAACAGACGCATGAGGATAGACATCAAAGGCGTGGAAGAAAATCCGGACAAACAAAATTTCACCGTGTCGTTTATGTGGCATTTTAATGAGGTTTGTATGAATATTGCGCATTCGTAAGGTGCATTGAGTTTAAATAGTCTTATTACAGCAACTTAAACTAATTGTGTTTTTAAACCACTACATCATCGTGGTAAAAATATTCATATATGATCAGATGAATAATAACATTTCCCTGTATCAATTTTCAAGCGAAAATTGCTTGCGACCGTTGAATAGAAAAACAGAAACAAAATAAACACTCACCGAAGTGTCAATAAAACCGTGATTGAACTTACAAACTAGGGCAGAAAATGAACAAAGGTAAGGTTTACTCGAACACCCTTGAAAGGATACACAGAGAATAACTGTTCTGCTTCAGTTCTATACTGCAAGTTAAATAATAGACAGAGCATTCAACACCTTTTTAAATGCAGATCACATGGCTAAGAAAATCAAAACCTGAAAGTTTTCAATGGAATAGGCATACTGCTGCATATACTTATGTATTACAGTGTAAGGCACATGCATCGGTAAACACTGTACGTCCTTAGTAACTCTTTTGCATTTTGGCTGAAATTCAAATTTGATATAATGAAACAGAAATTCGAAAACCAGTTTTGCTTATACTTGTATGTGATATACTTGTATTACCTGGAATGTTCAACAAAACGGAATACTAATAAAAGAAAGTGTGCTAAATGCATTTCGTACCTACATAACAATTAATTCATTCGTTTGAAATCATAAGTTTTATACAAGTGTGGTAATTAGAATTACAGTAATCCTATTCATCACGTTTCTTAATTAATCTTGACAATTATGCTATAATCAATTACTCTTTCTCAGGGTGCAACCTACTACATTGATTATGACGGAAAGTTCTGTGAGAGAAGTTACCAAATCGATGCGGTGTGGAACCAGTGGGAGGGCATTCCCCGTAAGTTATATAAAGTGTAGAGTGGATCATTGGGAGGGCATTCCCCGTAGGTAATATATATTGTAGAGTGGATCAGTGGGATGGCGTTCCCCGTAAGTAATATATATTGTAGAGTGGAACCAGTGGGAGGGCATTTCCCGTAAGTAATATATATTGTAGAGTTGATCAGTGGGAGGACATTCCCAGTAAGTTATATATAGTGCAGAGTGGATCAGTGGGAGGACATTCCCCGTAAGTTATATACAGTGTAGAGTGGATCAGGGGGAGGGCATTCCCCGTAATTTATATATAGTGTAGAGTGGATCAGTGGGAGGGCATTCCCAGTAAGTTATATAAAGTGTAGAGTGGATCAGTGGGAGGGCATTCCCCGTAAGTTATATATAGTGTAGAGTGGATCAGTGGGAGGGCATTCCCCGTAAGTTATATACAGTGTAGAGTGGATAAGTGGGAGGGCATTCCCCGTAAGTTATATATAGTGTAGAGTGGATCAGTGGGAGGGCATTCCCCGTAAGTAATATATAGTGTAGAGCGGATCAGTGGGAGGGCATTCCCCGTAAGTTATATATAGTGGAGTGTGGATCAGTGGGAGGGCATTCCCCGTAAGTAATATATATTGTAGAGTGGATCCGTGGAAGGGCATTCCCCGTAAGTAATATACATTGTAGTGTGGAGCAGTGGGAGGGGATTCCCCGTAATTAATATACATTGTAGTGTGGAGCAGTGAGAGGGCATTCCCCGTAATTAATATCCATTGTAGTGTGGAGCAGTGGGAGGGCATTCCCCGTAATTAATATACGTTGTAGTGTGGAGCAGTGGGAGGGCATTCCCCGTAAGTAATATATAGTGTAGAGCGGATCAGTGGGAGGGCATTCCCCGTAAGTTATATACAGTGTAGAGTGGATAAGTGGGAGGGCATTCCCCGTAAGTAATAGATATTGTAGAATGGATCAGTGGGAGGACATTCACCGTAAGTAATATATATTGTAGAGTGACTCAGTGGGAGGGCATTCCCAGTAAGTAATATACATTGTAGAGTGGATCAGTGGGATGGCGTTCCTCTTATGTAATATATATTGTAGAGTGGATCCGTGGGAGGGCATTCCCCGTAAGTAATATATATGGTAGAGTGGATCAGTGGGAGGGCATTCCCAGGAAGTAATATCCATTGTAGAGTGGATCAGTGGGATGGTGTTCCCCGTAAGTAATATATATTGTAGAGTGGAACCAGTGGGAGGGCATTTCCCGTAAGTAATACATATTGTAGTGTGGAGCAGTGGGAGGGCATTCCCCGTAAGTAATATATATTGTAGAGTTAATCAGTGGGAGGGCATTCCCCGTAAGTAAGATATATTGTAGAGTGGAACAGAGAGAGGGCATTCCCCGTAAGTGATATATATTGTAGAGTGGATCAGTGGGATGGCGTTCCCCGTAAGTAATATATAGTGTAGAGCGGATTAGTGGGAGGGCATTCCCCGTAAGTTATATACAGTGTAGAGTGGATAAGTGGGAGGGCATTCCCCGTAAGTTATATACAGTGTAGAGTGGATAAGTGGGAGGGCATTCCCCGTAAGTTATATACAGTGTAGAGTGGATAAGTGGGAGGTCATTCCCCGTAAGTTATATATAGTGTAGAGTGGATCAGTGGTATTGCATTCCCCGTAAGTAATATATAGTGTAGAGCGGAACAGTGGGAGGGCATTCCCCGTAAGTTATATACAGTGTAGAGTGGATAAGTGGGAGGGCATTCCCCGTAAGTAATATATATGGTAGAGTGGATCAGTGGGAGGGCATTCAACGTAAGTAACACATATTATAGAGTGGATCAGTGGGAGGGCATTTCCCGTAAGTAATATATATTGTAGAGTGGTTCAGTGGGAGGGCATTCCCCGTAAGTAAGATATATTGTAGAGTGGAACAGAGAGAGGGCATTCCCCGTAAGTGATATATATTGTAGAGTGGATCAGTGGGATGGCGTTCCCCGTAAGTAATATATAGTGTAGAGTGGATCCGTGGGAGGGCATTCCCCGTAAGTAATATATAGTGTAGAGCGGATTAGTGGGAGGGCATTCCCCGTAAGTTATATACAGTGTAGAGTGGATAAGTGGGAGGGCATTCCCCGTAAGTTATATACAGTGTAGAGTGGATAAGTGGGAGGGCATTCCCCGTAAGTAATATATATTGTAGAGTGGATCAGTGGGATGGCGTTCCTCTTAAGTAATATATATTGTAGAGTGGATCCGTGGAAGGGCATTCCCCGTAAGTAATATATATTGTAGAGTGGAGCAGTGGGAGGGCATTCCCCGTAATTAATATATATTGTAGAGTGGATCAGTGGGAGGGCATTCCCCGTAAGTAATACATATTGTAGAGTGGATCATTGGGAGGACATTCCCCGTAAGTAATACATATTGTAGAGTGGATCAGTGGGAGGGCATTCCGCGTAAGTAATATATATTGTAGAGTGGAGCAGTGGGAGGGCATTCCCCGTAAGTAATATATATTGTAGAGTTAATCAGTGGGAGGGCATTCCCCGTAAGTTATACATATTGTAGAGTGGATCATTGGGAGTGCATTCCCCGTAAGTAATATACATTGTAGTGTGGAGCAGTGGGAGGGCATTCCCCGTAATTAATATACATTGTAGTGTGGAGCAGTGGGAGGGCATTCCCCGTAAGTAATACATATTGTAGAGTGGATCATTGGGAGGACATTCCCCGTAAGTAATACATATTGTAGAGTGGATCAGTGGGAGGGCATTCCCCGTAAGTAATATATATTGTAGAGTTGATCAGTGGGAGGGCATTCCCCGTAAGTAATATATATTGTAGAGTGGATCAGTGGGAGGGCATTCCCAGGAAGTAATATATATTGTAGTGTGGAGCAGTGGGAGGGTATTCCCAGGAAGTAATATATATTGTAGTGTGGATCAGTGGGAGGGCATTCTCCGTAAGTAATATATATTGTAGAGTGGATCAGTGGGTTGGCATTTCCCGCAATATAGATACATTGTATAATAGACCATTCACCAGACGTTCTCCGTAAGTAAGACATATTGTAGAGTGGACCAATGTGAGGGCATTCCCCGTTAGTAATATATATTGTAGAGTGGATCAGTGGGAGGGCATTTCCCGTAAGTAATACATATTGTAGTGTGGAGCAGTGGGAGGGCATTCCCCGTAATTAATATGTATTGTAGTGTGGAGCAGTGAGAGGGCATTCCCCGTAATTAATATATATTGTAGAGTGGATCAGTGGGAGGGCATTCCCCGAAAGTAATACATATTGTAGAGTCGATCAGTGGGAGGACATTCCCCGTAATTAATATATACTGTAGAGTGGATCAGTGGGAGGCCATTCCCCGAAAGTAATATACATTGTAGTGTGGAGCAGTGGGAGGGCATTCCCCGTAATTAATATATATTGTAGAGTGGATCAGTGGGAGGGCATTCCCCGTAAGTAATAGATATTGTAGAATGGATCAGTGGGAGGACATTCACCGTAAGTAATATATATTGTAGTGTGGATCAGTGGGAGGGCATTCCCCGTAAGTGATATATATTGTAGAGTGGATCAGTGGGAGGGCATTTCCCGTAAGTAATATATATATTGTAGAGTTGATCAGTGGAAGGGCATTTCCCGTAAGTAATATATATTGTAGAGTGGATCAGTGGGAGGGCATTTCCCGTAAGTAATACATATTGTAGTGTGGAGCAGTGGGAGGGCATTCCCCGTAATTGATATATATTGTAGTGTGGAGCAGTGGGAGGGCATTCCCCGTAATTAATATATATTTTAGTGTGGAGCAGTGGGAGGGCATTCCCAGGAAGTAATATATATTGTAGAGTGGATCAGTGGGAGGGCATTTCCCGTAAGTGATATATATTGTAGAGTGGATCATCGGGAGGACATTCCCTGTAAGTAATACATATTGTAGAGTGGTTCAGTTGGAGGGCATTCCCCGTAAGTAATATATATTGTAGAGTGGATCAGTGGGAGGGCATTCCCCGTAAGTAATATATATTGTAGAGTTAATCAGTGGGAGGGCATTCCCCGTAAGTAATATATATTGTAGAGTTAATCAGTGGGAGGGCATTCCCGTAAGTAATACATATTGTAAAGTGAATCAGTGGGAGGGCGTTCCCCGTTAGTAATATATATTGTAGAGTTGATCAGTGGAAGGGAATTCCCCGTAAGTTATATATATTGTAGAATGGATCAGTGGGAGGGCATTCACCGTAAGTAATATATGTTGATCAGTGGGAGGGCATTCCCCGTAAGTAATACATATTGTAAAGTGGATCAGTGGGAGGGCGTTCCCCGGAAGTAATATATATTGTAGAGTTGATCAGTGGGAGGGCATTCCCCGTAATTAATATATATTTTAGTGTGGAGCAGTGGGAGGGCATTCCCAGGAAGTAATATATATTGTAGAGTGGATCAGTGGGAGGGCATTTCCCGTAAGGGATATATATTGTAGAGTTGATCAGTGGGAGGGCATTCCCCGTAAGTTATATATATTGTAGAATGGATCAGTGGGAGGGCATTCACCGTAAGTAATATATATTGTAGTGTGGATTAGTGAGAGGGCATTCCCAGTAAGTGATATATATTGTAGAGTGGATCAGTGGGAGGGCATTCCCCGTAAGTAATACATATTGTAAAGTGGATCAGTGGGAGGGCGTTCCCCGTAAGTAATATATATTGTAGAGTTGATCAGTGGGTTGGCATTCCCCACACTTTTGATATGTTGTATCAGAACAATCAGATGGTGTTCCTCGTAAGTATATGTAGTTTGTGAACATATGTATTTGGTGGATATGATATGGAACATAAATCATTGATTCACTCTATAAGGATAACATAATTATACACTGTACAGGGAAACATAAACCTAAGAAAAAATATAAAATAAATATGTTTCTAAATGTGAAGTAAACGACATTCGAGTTTACAATCGATAAAACTAGGGCAAAAATATGGAAAAAGGAAATATTTGCAGGGAAGGCATTGCATGCATGAGTCCGTTAAACAGCTAGTAATCATACCACGCCAAAAGTAGCGTATATCCCAATTAGATCCTTTTCTAAAATGTGATATTTTTGTATCGAGTCTGGAAATGAATATATATTCACATGCTATCTGTCTGGAGATGATATTTATTTCGTTTTCATTATCTAATTCTTCAGCAGTCGGTCAAACTTGATCGGATTAAAAATAAAACTTTGTATTTTTTTCAGTTGCATCATATCCCACCTACTTTGGAGGTATAGGCGGATTTAAAAAAATAGTTGGACAATTTGTTTTGGATATAAAAGACGATCCCCCTACAGACAATGGTATTCGTGTTGTGATGGATGTTCAAGTGGGTATGTGTACATATATGTAATCTAATTAAATTAATGTATACATATGAGAAAAAAAGGGGTCAGGAGATATTTTTGTAAAATTCAAATGAGATAGTAGAAATCTATATATTCATTCAGGGAATTAAGTGTGTGTGCGTGTGGAAGTTGATATTTCAGTGTTAGTACAAGAGTTGTGATGTGTATACGTTGATATTTCTATGTGAGGATTAAAATGGGTAGGCGTGCACGTTTTTATTTATTTATTGGTGGGTGTGTTAAAAAATATGTATGGATTCTTTTAGTTGGTTAGCGAACTTTTTAAGTTACCCACTAGTGGGTAACACCCTGTACGCTATTTCGTTTGTCAATCCTCCTGTCATGTCGTCTAGTAACAATGCTTGGCGACATCATCTTCCATTGTGACGTCATATTTCATGGCAATTGTTTCTCCGATCGGAATTAGTAACAATATATTCCTAAGAGAAATATTTGGTTTTCTAGATATAATATCTGAACGATGTGAGGGAAAAGGATCCCCGATATCCTGAAAGTTGATTATTGTGATTATCTTACTCATTTAGGTAATTTTCAATTCATAAAAGACACTCGGTAAACCTGGTGTCTTTACCCAATTTGAAAATTAGCTAACTCGAGTAAGATAGACATGTTAACCGGCTATCACCTGTTGGGGAACCTCTTTTTCTGGAAGAATATGTATTCAATAAAATGTATACGCGATAATTCAAACAAATCGTTAAACCTGACAAAATCTTTGACAGAAATGCACTTGTGTTTATTTAGGTGATTGGTGCCCTCCCCTCCGTGTAATGTTCCAGGACTTGCATGACGACCCGTACGAAGGAGTAATGTACCAGTATGAATTCATGGATCATACCAACCTGAAGAACCCAGACGTGTTCAAAGCACCTTCCAACTGTACCAACACCACGTCTATGGTTAGTACACTTCAGTATTTACACTATGTTCCTATATATAATAAATACAATCTTAACACTAAGTCTACCTTGTTCTCATTTATACAGATAAATATATATAAGTATTACACCTGTTGCTCAACCCGTTTGCACATGCATATCATTGTAAGAAATTATGAGTGTCTACTCAATAAAGTCATCACTGTTGCATATACACGGTGTTGCATGTCCTAATGTTATGGATTTTTTGAATTAATGAATTGATGTTACAAGTTAGTGATTTGATTCTATCAATGGTTAATCTGTCAAACAAACAAAGAACAATTAACATAATGGAATATGTATTATACTCCTCGATTAAGAAGCCTACAGGTCTTCTGTAATAATGAATCCTAGATATTTCTGTCATGTTTACATCTCATTACCGTAAATGGTTCTAAATCGGTATAATACAAGAACTCTCTCAACGATCATTACATCATTACAATAGTATATTTACATTTGCCCCCGCGCCGTCCCATTACAACAGTGTAAGAGGGCAAGTGTAATTATATAGGCTATAATTACAACTGCTCGACTATAATTACAACTGCCTGTTTCAATGTAGAAATATGTACACAAACAAAATTGCCGCCTGAAATGTATTTTGAGGCAGGGCAAATGGTTTTTGTAGGAATATGTCTTAAAAAAGAAAAATATGTATATATAAAAAAATACCTGGTTGTCTGGATGTAATTATTGTTTTTGTAATTAATTATTATAACCCTAGCGGGTTTTATGGGATTTGCCAGAGGCCACTTGTAATTATATCAACAATAATTACATCCAGACAACCAGTTATTGTTTAAATGATCTTGCGTTTTGTGTTTGTTTTACAGAATGAAGAGACAAGAAAATTCCTACCATTTCAACACCTTGATTTTGTCATGGATTAGCGTTATGAGGAAATCAAGCACTTTCTAAGTGGTGAATTGACTGAGTCATCCAGCATCAGACCACTCGGTAATCATGATATTAGCATTACCATGGCTCGAGTAATAACTTAGAACGGATTTTTTTTACTATGATTGTGGTATTACAGTCAATTATTATTCAATCACCTAAATATTAAAGCATGCAGACCCAAATTGTTCTTGCGTTGTTCTTTGAATCATTAGCTATGTTACCTAGCAAAGGCAGCATCCTTCCATTTAAACGTGTTCTATCAATTCCGCTACAGACTTAGAATTGAAGGATTTTTGAAATTTCAATTTTGAGCTCCTGCTAAAAACCGATTAGCGTCGGTTAAAATGATATTACCTTTGCGCTATGACTGAAGCAATAACTATGATAAGCAGATAACATCGAAGATAACAACATTAATATGCTGTTTGGTGCTCCTGAATGCAACACTTCTGATCTCTATTCTGTATCCGTCTTTTTGTTCGTTCTTTACGGTGGTAAACTAATATGACTGGATAGCATTTCAAGTAAGTTCTGATTGTGACATTCAAGCTTTATTCCAAGTAGCTCCTAAGTAGCACCATCATTGATGGACGATGTCCTCGTATAACATCTATATCCATATCTATTGCGAAGAGGCCCTTACCGCAAACAAATACATAGAAAATAACGATACTATTTTTGGAAATTTCTGCCAGCACTTCAAATGACGTATTTCACAGATTTATTGTTTTCCAAAGATACCGTATTATAGGGTATTATTTAAATGTTTATACAAAATGACTGTAATATCAAGAAATGATGTATTCACAGCCATTTGATATTATGTATGTGATCACTATGGCTGAATAAACATTGATTATCTCTGTTTTCTATAGAAGTTGTTTTTATTTATGTGGAGAGGGGGAGCAGACAAATCAAGAAAACGATTATTGCCAGCTATTGAAGATTTAATTATCCCATAAACAAACCAAAATATCTGGGAATGGTAACCATTCTGTTGATATGTCTCTGAAACATAAAAGAAACATTTGTTACTTAATAACTTTGAATATCTAAATGACAGGAGCTCGTGTTTAATTTGATTAGAATAATATTGTAACATATATTTGAAACAATGTTATTTTCTACATGAAGTGTATATTGGTGTAGGTACACATATAAGCCTACAGTAACATTTTAATATCTTCTTCTTATGCCACCAGCGGAGAACAGAAACATAATCGGTTTATGCTGTTAACAACTTATATCATGTTATCATGGTAGCAGGGTCAGGGAGTAGAGTAGGGAACGTGATATAGATACTAGACGTGAAATAGATCAGACGCATTGAAATGAAGTTAAATATATAGCTAAACACTTTACTGACCAATGATGTGGTGTTGTGACAGTTCGGGGGAGGCGTGAACACATTCGGGCTCTTTATGTCACTGATATCTAAGAATTCGTAGTTATAAGCAAAGGCTCCATACGAAATCTTACTTAATTCTCGCATTGTCAAACGGACTGGAGAACAGACGTCACCTACAACAATTAACACATAATCAATATTATACGGAGAAAGGAAACATATCTATATGAAAATCCTGTGTGTAGAAAGTGAAACAAAGTAAACATTCGATTGTACCATATGGCCATTTCATCCATGACGGACTCATCAGTGGTCAACGGAATGAACAAATAATATTTCATTTCTAAGTGATCCAAATCATCAAAAACCTTTAACCGGTACAAATTGATCAGGCAAATTTGGCTTTTATATCACTAGAAACAGAAAGAAACGGAAGAACCTATTTGAAAAGAAAAAGAAATAAAAATAATACACAATATTGCTTTTTCGCCCAATAAGGACTCGTCAGTGGTGCTGATCGTCAAAAGAATCAGAAAAAAATTAAACTCCATGTCCTATGTGTTCCGAACCATATGTAGAATACAACGAAAGGGAAAGAATGATTATACATTTATTTCAAATGTTACAAATTTACCATTTTAGGCAACTACAGATTATTAAAGTTAGACTAGTATTTCAAACATTTTAAACGTGTAGATTATGCATAAACATTCGTGAACCAGGTTTGTCATTAACATATTTTCAGTGATGAGATCTCTTGTTTTCCTGTCACACAATATCCTTCGTTTTTATACATGCATTTGTTTTAACCTTAAAAATATTGCACAGCATAACATATTTCTCTCAAAAACGGAACAGTAATGACATTTAGAGACTTTCACTATTACCCACCAACTTTTACATCCATAGTTATTGCCACATTTCCCATCGGCCCTGCATTCTTTTCCGCCCATTTGTACTGTCCAACAATTTCGTTAAAACCACCTAAGCGTCCGAAATATTCTGGTGAGGCATCAGCTAAAATACCAAGGTTTTTCGTTCATTCAATCATTCATAGTGATTCTCAATACACAAGTGTTTATGGGTAAAGTACAAAAGTATTTATTAGACATCAGTTCATACAAAGATTCGTTATTACTTACAACATTTCAATAATAAGCCTTATCTAACAAAGATCGTTACAATTGCTTGACAGCGGTGTATCATTTATTTATATATTAGGTTGTAGAATCTGAAATTATTTTCCCGCTGATTCATTCCAACTGATTTAAGAAGTCACTCTCCCTATTTACGCGGTATAAATATCTTTCGAGTGAACCCATTAGACACCCTCCCTGTTTCTCCTGTATATCTTCCCACTGATTCAAAAAGTCACTCCTCTGCATACCCGGTATTGTAATTAAATTCTCCAGAAGTGACACTCTTTACTTACCTGGTATTCCTTCCCACTGGTTCCAGAAGGTACTGACACCATCCTCTCGTTCACAGCTTTTATCGAGGTTGTCCACGGTGTAAAACGCTGGCTGTTATACCGAAGAGATATACGTTATGTATGTAGTTTGATTAATAGGTATTATATTCTAATGTTATGATTTACACATATTTCTATACTTAATGTTAAAATGAACACATTCTTACAATATCTGGAATGCTTGATACATGTCCTATAGGGGAAAAAGTAATCTGACAGTATCCAAATTTGTAAGCATAGGCTTAAAGATGACAAATCATTGTACTTACCTCGTTAAACTTCCACATGAGAGTGAAGTCTACAGAAGTATTGCCAGCATGCTCTATTCCAGCAAAGTCAAATCTCGTCTGTTGGTTGGTGTAATCATAATAAAACCTTCCTGATGCGTTGATATGTTGTGTGGCCACCAGCATCATTTCGAAGTCAAAGAAAACATTGCTTTGCCATTGGGCTGGAAAGTTACACTGCAACTGTTTTGTTTTTGCTAAAGTAACATGTAACGATATGATAGCACATGAAAAGAGTAGAATGAAATTAAGTACTTCCATTCTTTTCATTAAGGTAAAATACATGTTCGAGTCTGTGAAATATTAAGTAACTTAAATACAATTCACAGTTGTAACGAACACACATATATGTCGAAAGCACGAAGTAGATAATAACAGATTACACAATGAACAAGACAGACATAAATCTGTAGTAATACAGTGTTGTACATATATCTACGTTTATCACTAATACAGGAGTTAACCTGACTTAGGTCACGTTTACAGTCTGATATCAAATACAAATACATCTCCCTTTATTATCATTTCGTTAATAGTAACTAAACCGCTATCATCACATGTACTGATGTACCACAAAATGATAGTATACACAGTGTATAATTCATCCTCATACACATCTGGTAAATAACACCCTCACATCAATATATTGCAATACTTGTACATACAGTTTACTTATACTAGTCCCTATAAACATGATGTTATATTTTGCTTAATTATACTGCTACATTCACCTAACACTTATATGTACATGTTGATTACCCTCAGCTTTAATAATGTTTTTATTTCCAGAAATAAAAGTTGAACTATGTAATATCAATTGCTTATCTATCATTTCATACTCCTATTTATCATCTAACATTTGTATATTCTTTCTTACGGGTTATCAGTATGGGAAAACCTGAAAAGAAATTAACCACGACTCGAAAACGATTTTAGAATCGGTGTTCCATTATTTTCAAATTTTAGTTTGGTTTTATTTTATTTTGTTTAATGTTCTATTAACAGATAAGGTTATTTAAGGACATGCTTCCATGAGTGTTGTGTATGCGTGGCTGTGTATATGTGTGCCGGAGACAGGGTATGTTGGTGTAATTGCCTCCTTGCACGGATCTAATGGCGACTTTATACGCCCGGTCACATTAAATTGACGACGGGTGAACAAGTTGTTGCCATTACCCTAAATGCTGAACGTTAAGCAGGGAATAGCAACTATTATTTTAAAGGACTTTGTAATGACCTTGCATGGGGTCAGAACCCATTGCCTCCTCAACTTGGCGAACGCTCAACACTAAAACGAAAAGTGAGGTGTTGCCAAGTATGGTGCTAGGCAATAAAAGGAAATTACATGTAGAAATAGAAAGAAATATAAAGATCCCACATATTTCAATGGGTGCAACAGATTTATTTCAAAAGAGAATATCTAGTTGGATTTAATGGCTTTGAAGGGGGGATTTTGCTCTCTTATTAATCGCATAAGCTACGAGACAAAAGTTAATTTAATTGCCAATTACTACGAGGTCATTTTATCACATCTGCTCTTTTCATTGGTTTTAGTAAAAATATTGCTGCAACTGATATATATCACTCACTATACATTCTGATAACAAGACTGGAATATTGACACATCGAACCAAGAGGTTTTCCATGGAGAGGCCAAGTTCTTTAAATAGAAGATTTAAAAAAACTCATCAAATAATCATTATAAAAGTTGCATCAAATACACACTACATAATGTTTTTAATTTTTCTGAAAGTCGATGTGAAACGTTTTTTCATCTGTATACTACTTTATACATATTGTACCACTTATCAGCAGCATGATAAACTGCTTACTACGGGTAAACGGTATGAGAATACTCGAGAAGAAGTTCAAAAAGAGTTCGGAATTGATTGAGAAAATAGTCTGTCAACAAATCATTATAACATTTTGAAGAAATATTGTGAGAATAACAACACTAGTTTAGCCTTAACATACGTATTGAGAAGTCATTGACATGCATATTGTTTTTTTGAAAAAAAACACTCACTACACAATTTTAAGGTCAATGATATTCTTCCCAGGAAAACT